TAGAAAAGGGTAAAGGGGGGGATAAATGGTGATGAAAGGAGACTTGACTTTGGGCGATGAACACACATGATACAATATATAGATGATGTATAATGAATTGTACACCTGAAGCCTATATAATTATTTAACCAATGTCATCCCAATAAATTCAATTAAAATTGTTTAAAATATGTCTTATTAAACAAAAATTGTTATTTTCTGTTTAAAGCCTTTATCTTTTTAAACTTTAAAAAAAATCATCTTAATAGAACTTTAAAATCAGCATCATGCACCTATCTTATGGGGATAAAACTGCCTTCGATGATATATAGAATGGCTTGGAGATCATATAAGTCATTATCTTAAGGAAAAAAATCAATAAAATGTATTTCATTTTATTGTAAATAGAAAATAGCAATTAACAGCAAAATCCAGATTGTGAGAAACTGCATAGGATAAACAATCTGGTTTCTTCAACAAATAAATTTTAAGGGAGAATTTAAAAATAAAGATAGGGAAAACCAAAAGATTCAAAGAGACTTTTTGAAACTTATTTTTTTTAAATAAAATGAAACATGGAAAACTAACTACAGGGATACATGCTTGAGTGAAAAACTATGACAAAAATAAGGAAATGATAACCGTAAAAGTCAGGGCAGTGTCTACAGTCCTACAAGAAGAGGAGGGAGGGGCTTGGGTTCGGGAAGCAGCACATGGAATTACTGACCAAGCTCTAATTCTTGAACTGGATAGAGGTTATAGGGTGTTCACCGTTAGTAATTTCTGTGTCAGTGTTGTATTTCACAATAAAAAGAAGATGTAAAAAAATAAAATTGCAGTCTAAAAGAATCACCAATGCAGCTATTATGTACTTTTATGCAGATGTATTCCTGTTCTTGCATTCATACTCACATCCTTAAAACAACATTGCACCTGAATTTTCACAAATAAAGATTCTATGACTCCTGAACAGAAATATTTACTAGACTGGTTTTGAGACATTGTTTAAATCTGACTTGACAATGATGTTGATTTTAATTTGCAACCTCAAGATAAATATGACTTTGTGCCTACTGACAAAAAAATGTTCTTTCTTAGAGTTTTGCTTTGATCTCTTAGATCCTTTCATTCACTTCAGTCCCAAGAAAAAAGCCAGTTAAAAAATTCATACAGCTCTTAGGGAAGGTGTTATGGGCTGAACTGCATTCCCCTAGAAGTCGTACATTGATATCCTAACCTCCAGTACATCAGATTGTAACTATATCTAAAGATAGTCTTTAAAGAAGCAATTAGGGCCCTGGCCGACTTGGCTCAGTGGATAGAGCGTCGGCCTGTGGACTGAGGGGTCCCAGGTTCGATTCCAGTCAAGGGCACATGCCTGGGTTGCGGGCTCGATCCCCAGCAGGGGATGTGCAGGA